CATAATTCCTGCAACTTATTCTCAGGTATTCGAGCAATCTCAGGGATAAAATGCCTCTGAAGCCCAGTGCTGGACGGAGAGGAGGGTTTTTTCTAACAGCACAAGGACGTGATGAAGTTTGTACTGGAAGTGTAGATCTACCTCACTGGATGTTCGCTAGGTGGACTGACGTGTTGTTGACCTTTTCAGTTGTGTTTTTTGGTATGTTTGGGATTTGTTTTCTTTTTAACAGTATTTTAACAGAGTCTCTTTCCTTTCCTCATGAGCTGAGGAGGAATTTGGGTCTGTAGAGCCATGTACGGGGATGAAGAAGCCAGGCAGTGCCATGGGGCAGGGGACAGCTGCTAGAGCCCACGTTGGCTCCCCAACTCCAGATTTTCTCCCAGCCTGGTGGCTTTTGAGGACTGTCCTCCATTTCTCTCTCCTGTTAATGCTCACATGTCCCCTCCCTGCCATCCCCATGGGAACGCTTCAGTCTGCCCCGCGTCCAAGCCCTCCCGTTGCTCGGATGAGGGGATGGCCGGGATGTCGCACAGGCTCCCAGCAGGCTGGTGCCATGTGGTTGGAGGTTGGATAACCAGGATGGGGGGCCCAGACTGTTCAGGGGGACACAGCAAGAGCAAACAGCGGCCAGGAAGGTTGTTGGGAGACTGAGGGTTAGCCTCAATCCCCTGTCCTGAGCTGCCCTTGAGCAAAGGGCTAGCTGGCTGCCTGTGACTTCCCAGAGCAAGGGACCTGGTGCCCAGGTAGACCCGAGTCTCACGGAGGTGCAACTGCTCCATCTTTCTCCTCCCTTCTAGCTTCCCCCAGATTCTGGCTCACGATGGCTGGGGGGATCCTTGGTTTTGGGGCATTAACACTCCACTTTGCAGCCCGGGGCTGGCTGGAGCAGGGAAGGCATCTCGCCGTGCTGGCGTGCCAGGACATGGGTGCGGTTTCTGCTGTTTTTTAGGTAGCACTAGGTTTAGATGTAGAGCAGGGCTGGAACAGATGGGGAGCACCTACTCCATCCTCGGGGGTCACTGGGGGTGGGATTTGCTGAGGCGGCTGGAGCTCGGTGACCCCTCTGAGGGTTCGCTCTGCCCTGCGGCACACAGGTACCGGCGGGGATGGAGAGCGGCTCCCCAGGTGCTTGCCTGCCCTGCTCCAAGTAGTTTTTATGGTGAGGTGGTGGTCTCTTCTTGGGAGGGTGGGGGGAAGGCTCTTTTTTTTTAGTTCTTGACTAGCAACGGGATCTATACAAACCTACTTCAGGAAAAACGGCTTTTGTCTGAACGGGGTAAATGCAATAGAGCGCACTGGGCTGCGTGTCTAAGCCTGGGCCTCGGTCCCGCTGCCGCGTTGCGGGGGGCTGTTGGCCTTCCCCTGGTACCTCGGTCGTGCTGGGGAAAACTGCTGCCCCCCCTAATTCTTGTATCTGTCTTGAAGAATCGTGTAGGACCTTTCCCCCCCTCGCCCCCAGTTTAATGGTTTGGTGATTTTTCTGCTAGATGTCTAGTGCGTGTAAATACCTCTGTAAATCTTTCCATTTTCTCTCAGTATTCTCCTTGATTGTTTACAAAAGTAAGAGGGAAAAAAAAATAAAATTAAAAAAAAAAATAGCCAAAGCATCTAACAGGTTATGGACCAGGGAGACAGGATCTTCTCTGTATACTCTGCCTTGCAAGTCTCTGTGGGGATATGAGCTCTGTAACCATCCCTGTCCTAGGCTAAAGTAGCAAACGGCTTAGAGAATCACTCAGGTTTCCCCCGGGGCCAGCGTGGTCCTGGGATCCAAGAAAACAGGGATTTTTATCTGTAAAGGGAAGCCACGCCGGAGAAGATGGGATTGATTTGCATCTTCTCGTCGCGTTTGCCGTGGTGGTTCTTCCCGTATCTTGACAATAATAAATTAAATTGCTGCATCATCACACACACACACACACCCTCCGCCCGTGCTCGGCTTGCAGCGCCGGGCACTGTGCATCACGGGGCGGTGAATCGCGGGCGGATGAGGCTGCACACTCAGGGTCCTGCTGTAACACGGGAGCGTTTGAATGTAGGAGGAAAAAGCTGTCCCTCGCGAGCGGGGTGTCTGCCCTGGTGCGGAAGCCTTGAGTCACAAGATTTGTCGACGAGGAGACGGAAGAATGTAATCCATGTTTACTGCTAGCAACCAAAGCTTGTTTGTGTCAAACTCTTGAATTTTTATGAAGTGGGTGGGAGGGAATAATGGGGGTGGCTGTGTGTGGCTCTGGGGTTATCCCGAGCTGCGCTTTCCAAAGAGATTTCCTGCTGGAGTCCCTGCAGCGTGATTCCCCAATTCCTGTTGCTGCAGGGGTTTTTTTTCCCCCCCTTCCTTTCTTTTTTTTTTTTTTTTTTTTTTTTTTTTTTTTTACCAACTATGTAAAATGTGGGGTTTTTTCTTTTCTGGAAAAAAAATAATAAAGACCGTGGGCAGTGGCTGCTGGTGCTGTTCTGTGTGCGGTTACTTTGTCTGTTACTCCCCCAGGGTTGAGAAGCCCAGACCCAAAACGGGCGCTGCCTGGGCGGAGGGAGGAGTGCTGGGAACTGGGATGACTTGCAGCCCATAACCAGCTTGGCTGTGCTGCCAGGTT